CCCCCGCTGGCTTTCTTGGGCTAAGGTGCTGCTGCCATGTGTACCTCCTGTGCTGCTCCTCCTGGGTTATCTGGGCATGCTGGTCACACCACTGCCAGGTGTGCTGGTCTTACAGGTGTCCATATTGCTGTTGGGGGTCTGGGTTCTTGTATGCAGCTCCTGTTACTGGTAGAGCTGATGTTGGGAATGCCACCACTGGGGGCTGGGTCTCAGGTCCCACTGTGGTTCCTCGAGCCTTAGTTAACAGGTGCCACCTGCCACTGCTGGGGGAGGGGCTGGGGCTAAGCCGCAAGTGTTGCAGCTGGTTGTATAGACTGATGTGCACCAGTGTGATTTTTGAGACTTTAGTTCAGGGCAGCCTGCTTCTGTCAGGGAAATCCATGTTTCGATTTCTGTCCCCACTACTGGAAAGACTGGTTCCACTGCTAGGGGAGGAGGAAGAGTCTGGGTTGCCAACACCACTCTGTGTCCTGAAGCCTCAGGATGTGTGCACCACCTGCTACCCCTGAGGGAGCAGGGGCCTAGCCCCAAGTAAGTGTTGCCATTGTTCATGCAGCTCTGGTTTCTGGCATGCTCAGTGTGCTTTGAAACGTCAGGTCAGGGCACCTTGCCCCTGCCAGAGAAATTCTTGCCTTGGATGTTTTCTCCACTTCTGGAAAGACCAGCACCACGGCTGGGGGAGGAGGTGGAAGGTGGATTGCTGGCTCTCTTCTGTGTCCTGAAGCCTCAGGATTCTTATGCCACCCACCACCACTGAGGGCATAGGGTCTACAGCCTCTGGTTGCTGGAGGTGGCATGTGCTGGTGTGCTCTAAAACCTCAGATCAAGGCATCTCACCCCCACTGGAGAAATTCATGTTTAGGATGCTTTCCACACTCTTAGAAAGACTGGTGCCACTGCTGAGGGAAGGGGATGGGGTGGGTCACCAGCTCAGTTCTGTGTTCTGAATGCTCAGAACACGTGTGCTACCTGCCACCACTTGGTAGGTGGCAGGGTCAAAGTCATGAGTGCCATGTTTGCCTGCAGCTTGTGTTTGCTGGTGTGCACAGAGTGTGAGTATCCACATTTGGATTGCCACTGCCAGAAGAGGTGAGGGGTCTGCTACCCTAGTTCCACTGTCTCCTGAAGGTTCAGTCCACCCACCTTCAGATATATAGATGCATGGATCACTTAGACATTCTGGTGTGCTGTGCAGGGAGTCCTTTGTTGGTCACTGAATGTCTGACTGGTTGTAACTTGGAGGGGAGAGACAAAGGGAATGACTCACTCTGTCATGATGCTGACATAACTCTCCCAGAATATATATATTTTAAAATATAAAAAATGCTTCTCGACTCACTCCTGTTAAATTCTGTAGTTTAATACTTAAGTTCAAGTATCTGGCACAGCACTATCCACCCAGTGATAAATACATGAAAAACTATAGAATATATTGGAGTATTTGAGGAAGTCATTTGTTTTAAAACTAATTCAGCCTGACCTTGTTTTCCCAAAATGGCCTGATGTGGCCAATTGAGCATGCATTGCATATCTATTTTAAATATTTACTGTGTCCCAAAGACAAGAAAAATGCCCTTAAAGATAAGAATATAACTTCCCCCACATTTGTATTTCTTTAATGATAAGTATCTCTCCCTAAACTAAGAATTAATTTTTGACCTGCTGCGCTCACTTTGTGACCACCCACCTTGTGACCACAGACCTGCTGTGTTCACTGGATTGCTGTGCCGGCAAAGAAATCTCATGACTATTGTAAAAGGGACATTCCTATCATATGTGATAAAGGCTCTTTGATGGTATATAACTGCACTGTACACCCTACTTCTTTGGAGTGCTCCCTTCCTTTGTGAAAGGACATTCTGGGACATATGGTCCTCAGAGTTGGCTCAAAGTAAACTCACCCCAATTTTGATTTATAGATTGGTTACAGATTATTTGCATTGACACCACTGAAAGTTAGAAGCTTGCTTCCTAATCATAATTCTGGCAAAGACTTAGTGTCAAGAAAATTCTCTATTGTGCCCCCAAAGACAAAAGCTTTCAATGAACAAACTGGATGATGGCACATCCTAGGAAATCAATTTTCATGACTGAAAAAGTGCTGCTACCATTTAAAATACAAAAAAATTTCTACCTTACAGGAAAACAAGGAATAACCCCCCAAATTTTTGCTCATTGAATGCTATATACTCTATGCCTCTACTTTGTCATGTAAGCCCTGACAGTTGGATTTTCTTTTTGTAATGCAAGTACCTGACTTAAGCTTTGATTGCCAAGGCATCTATTTTAAAAAGGCATCCACCTCAAAGAGGTCTATTTGAAATAAATACACTATTAGCCATACACTAGATAAATCTCCAGGTTGCCTCCCCACACTGAGGCTCCTATGCTATGGAGATCTTGGTTGATTTTAATAACTGATATTTGGGCTTCTTTTTTCTGTTCCTGTACTTTAAATTCCCACTCTTATGTTTTATATTTCCCAATAAAGAATGAGCCCACAAATCCCTACACCCTCACCCTCAAACCGATAAAAGCCATCCCCAGGCCCATGTCCTTTCTCTCTCTACTTGTGACCTCACTGTGTGGACCAACGTGTGCCTTGTTCAATCCAGGGCCTGTAAGTAAGTTTCCTAATGGTTGTTGTTGAAGGGCATCTTGTACTCATAAGAAGAACCAAAAGGGTCAGTTCAGTCTAAACATTGGTTTGGAAAGGGGAGATGTCTGTGATAAGCTCACTAGGGCCCAGGTGAATGCACCCAATAGCATTACTATTGATATGCTGAGACTGACACAAATAAGTAGTCAGTAATAGTAGTCAATTATAAATTATTAATAAGAGTCCAATCTCACTAGAGATGGCTACAAACCAATCATAGAAGAAAAACCTTGTTAAATACCTGATCTAAGTGCATGCAAACCAGTGTGCCCATGCACACACACACACACAAGTAGTGAAAACCAATGGTTCCATGTTATCTACTTAAAATAGACTGTTACAAATATGTTGTTATATGGAAGCCTCATGGTAACCATAAAGCCAAAACCTAATAGATACACAAAAGAGAAAGAGAAAGGAATCTAATCATGCCACTAAAGAAAGTCATCAAACCACAAAGGAAGAGACCAAGAGAAGAAGAAAGGAACAGAGAGGAAATATAAAACAGCCAGAAATCAATTAACAAAATGGAAATAAGTACATACCCATCAGTAATTACTTTAAATGCAAACACACTAAATTCTCCAATAAAAAGACATAGAGTAGCTGAATGGATGAAAAAGCAAGACCCACTTATATGCTGCCTACAAGAGACTCACTTCAGATGTAAAGACAGACTGAAAATGAAGGGATGGAAAAAGATAGTGTATGAAAATGGAAACCAAAAGAAAGCTGGTGTAGCTATAATTAGACAAAATAGACTTTAAACAAATACTGTAATCAGATACAAAGAAGGGCATTACATAATGATAAAGGGGTCAATCCAACAAGAGGATGTAACATTTGTACATATTTGTGTGCTAACATAGGAAAACCTAATGTATAAAGAAAATATTAACAGACTTAAAAGGAAAAGCAGACTGCAGTACAATAATGTAGGTAATTTTAATACCCCACTTTCATCAATAGATAGATCATCTACACGGAAAATCAAGAAGGAAACATTGGCCTTAAAAGGCAAATTGGACCGGATGGATTTAACAGATATGTGCAGAATATTCCTTCCAAGAGCAACAGAATACGCATTTTTGTGAAGTGCACGTGGAACATCCTTTTACTTTGAAACAAAGTTGAACATAAATCTGAAGCAAAAAGAGCTGTTCAAGTGTTTTCTTAGAGTTTCATGTGTAGAAGTCCAATAAAAAGCAGGTAAGAATGGAACTGTGGGGTGAGGTTCTTGAGCCTGTCTGCTTTTGCTGCTTTCAGGGAAGTGCTGCAGAACTCTCAGGATTCTGTGAAATGTTTTGAAAACCATCACCTAGCTCCTTCTAGAACACATTCTGCTAGGTGACATCTAGATTTGCTGAACAATTCAGCCCTTTCCCCGCTTGAGGAACTCTGGTTCACTCAAAGTAGTTTTTTTTTTTTTTTTGATGAGGAAGATTCACCCTGAGCTGACATCTGTTGCCAATCCTCCTCTTTTTTTTGCTCGAGGAAGACTAGCTTGAGCTAACATTTGTGCCAGTCTTCCTCTACTTTGTATGTGGGATGCCTGCACAGCATGGCCAATGAGTGGAGTGGGCCTGCACCCGGGGTCTGAACCTGCAAACCCGGGACACTGAAGCGGAGTCCACTTGGCCCCAGGGCTGGCCCCTCAGAGTATTTCTAAATGTTGAGCAAATCTGTCTCCTTTATTACTTCTGCACATTGATCTTGAGATTCCTCTTTGTTGAAACTACCCCAAATAAGTCAAATTCCACTTCCATTATGGTGATGGTGGGGCACCTAAATAACTGTTAGCAGCCATAGATCATTTATCAAAACCTATACATGTTTTTTTTTGGAGGCCTCCATTTTCTCTGGTGTGTTTCTCTCTAGGCTGCACTTAGTGGGGCTTTACATCATGGCCAGGCTCTTGGGGTACCTTGTAGCTGGGTATGTCAATTTCCCTAGTATATAAAAGCATGTACCTTCATTTTTGCTAGGAATTAAGCCCTAAACACCGTAACTTGTCCATTCATCATCTTGCTTTTACCTAAATTAAATAATGAATAGAAGGGTCACCTTAGGATGTATTGAGACCAGAAAGATCTTTCTCAGATTGCCTGAATTAGGAATTGAGCATTGAAACAGAACTAATAAACTTGGATATTTTGAGGCAAGACTATAAACTTGGATTTTTTTTTTGAGGAAGATTAGCCGTAAGCTAACATCCACCGCCCATCCTCCTCTTTTTTTTTTTTTTCTGAGGAAGATTGGCCCTGAGCTAACATCCTTGCCCATGTTCCTCTACCTTATACATGGGACACCTACCTCAACATGACTTGATAAGCAGTGCATAGGTCCACACCTGGGATCCGTACTGGCAAACCCTGGGCCACAGAAGTGGAACATGCGAGCTTAAACGCTGCACCACCGGCCCAGACCCTTGGATATTTTTGCTGATAACCTTTCTGAAACTGTTGGTCCAGGCTTATTTCTATGTCCTGTAGTTTCCTGGTTAAAGTTCAAGATATTTGTGTAAGTCACTCTCGAGATTTTAAATTTAGTAATACATTGACTACAAAAGTAGGATAGTTGACCATATTATTTATTAATGTCACCATTAAGATACTCACAAAATTGTATCCTTATGCTATTTATACAATCTTCTGAGAACAGGAGGCCTGCTTCTCAGTATTTGATCAAACCTGTAGCAAACTCAGAAGATAAATGTTTGATTGCTGAAGTAAATTTGGAAATTTGTATCGATTAACAATAGTTTTAAAATGAGGAAAAAGAGTCTAACAAACATGATTTCTATGAAAATCTAAATTTTGTCCAAGTGATTTAGCTCAATTGACTATAATTATGACCATATGTATTCAAATTTCTAGGAGAGTTGTAATTTCAAATATACTTCCCAGAACTATACCTGTATCTGCCAGACCACATGCTGTCGTTTTTGGTTGGAGAATATAGTGCCTGGGCTTGCAATAATAAAAAGTTGAATGCTGAATTTAAATTGTAGCACATTATTCATTTAGTTATTCATTTAACTTAGCAAATGTTTACTCACCATTTATTATATTCCTAGCAGTGTGCTAAGTTCTGGTGCACAATGGTCAACATGAAAAATAAAATTCTCCCCCTTTTGGAACTCCTGGTTTATAAAAGCAATCAGGACTGCCACCTACATCTGTACAGTCATGTCTGTATGTGACAGGGGCTTCCTTGAACTGTATGTTTCACAGCATGCCCACCTATATGCTGTGGGCCTGAAAAAGATGTTTATTCCAGTTAGGAATAACTTAGATAAATCTATGTAGTGAGGGCATGATAACAAACTTTATTTGCCAGCATCGACATATTTTGGGCTTTTTAAGACAGTAGGCAGAGACATGAGACATGAATTGACTTAGTCTAGTCCCAGGCCAGGAAGTTGTTGGCACCAAGAAGAGAAATATAATTCCAATTCATGGATTTTGATCTGGATCCAGGCCTCATTAGTCTTAACTCCCACTTGTTCATTTGTCTTCATAATTCCACGACCTTTTGACATTTATGCTGCAGTGAAGTTTTAGTTATTTGTGGAATACAGGATCAGAGAAAATGGATAAATGAACTTCACAGGAAATTTGAAATCCCGCTGCATGCATTTCTACTGCCTCCACCTCCAAAGTAAATCTATTAGTAGCTCACATGGTGAATTTATATCCACCTTTCTCATCATTCTATTCACCTCAGTGAGTAACAGAGGAGCAATTGGAGAAAAGAAGAGGAATGAGGAGCTTCAGCAATCCGTTCTGTATGAACTGATAAGGAAGCAGGATCCTCTTCAATCCCAATCACTTGCTTGAGATGTAAGCCACTTGCTCAGGAAAGAGCACTTTTAAAATTATAAGTGCAGAGATTCTTCTTCCTATAAATATTTATATTTTGAAGGTTAACCTGTAGATGAATCCAAAGGACAAGAGAATCTTCTGGCTTACTTCTTTCTCAGTTTCCACTTGCCTCTTCTCACTGGCCAACAACTCTGAAAAAATAAGGACAGCTTGCTTTAATTGCTCTTGCTGAAGGATATTTGTCAATCAAAACTTAGATATTAGAAACAACGTGGCACAAGACTCCGGCTGCATTCTAACTGAAGGAAATTTAAAGTTCCCCCAAAATATCCAAGATGCTTGAGCACTATTTTCCCTAAGTGAGTTGTACAGTGGGGGCTCTGTGATACCACAGTGAGTCCTTAACGTGATTATATCACCCCTGAGCACTCTTTGCAGTATGTTGTGAGAAGAGAATGTCAGGCCCTAATACATTGTTCCTACCAAGAACAAAGGAACCCAGAATGAACGGATTTAAAGAAGAACCAACATGCTCTTGGTATCCGACAGCAGTGGGTGTACAGAAGCAGTGAGGCAGGCACACTTTCCTTACGTACTGGTGGTGTTTCTGGCTCCTGGTGGTGTTTGTGGCTCCTGGTGTTTCTAGCCATAACACAGTCCTCATTACACAGTCTAAAAGCTCATTCATGGATGGAGAGCAGGGTTGGTGCCTCTGAGACTTGCTTCCTTTATTATTCCTAACCAAATGAAATGAGTATATCATGTCAGTGATTATTAAGAGTTTACAAGTGTCTCCTGAATAGGATCCACAGCTCCCCAATGTGCTCACTGGGAGGGACCTAGTTCCCTGTGCATATATCTCTGAGTATGCATATAATACTGCCTATATTTAATTATATTTCCTCCAGTGGTCTGACTAGTGGGCCACAGAGGTCAAGATAAATATTCAAGAGAGGCTAGGAAAGGTTTCCTCTTTGTGGAGATATCCTTCCTCTAAGAAACTGATCTGCCTGGGGAGTGGGGTTGGGCAGAGGAGTGAGTGGGACAGGTTAATGGGAGAGAAGAGAATGAGAAGGAATGTGTGTGTGTGTGTGTGTGTATGAGAGAGAGTGTGCATGTGTGTGTTTGATATTCTCTCCCAAGTAGACCTGCTTTATTGTTAGTCCCAAACCTGTAAGCACTTGAATTAAAAAAATTCTTTGTCTATACGTATTTTACTTAATTTTGTGATATTCAACATATGGCAAAGAATCTCCTCTTTTCAATTTTAAGTATGGCTTGAACACATTTCTTTGAAAAAATTTAGTCTTCTGTAAAAGCAGATTTATAATGTTGTTGACTTACATGATGCAATATTAGTGAAAATGAAAGTTTAGCACTGTAAATGGCTCATCAGTGGGAAATATGAAGTTTTTTCATTGATATCAGGGCAGGAGAACAAACAAGATGTGGCAGAGAACCTGAGGGGGAAATAAATTCAATCACAGCAGGAACTCAAGTAGAGAACACTACTGAGTTTACGAGTGAGGCTGTGTAAGGACAGAGCAGGTTCCCGAAAATGTACTCCCTGTACTGGCAGTATTAACATCACTTGAGAACTTGTTAAAATGCAAGTTCTCAGGCCCCACCCTGACCCACTGAGTGAGAAACTCTGAGTGTGGGGCCCAGCAATCTGTTTGAACAAACTTTGAGTTTGTTTCTGATGCATGCTGATATTTGAGAACCACTGTCTAGATGATAGAACATTAGTGTCTTGGTTAGGAGGGGTGTGTTTGAAACAGCTTCTAAGTTTGGAAGGGATGTCTTTAGCATCAGGAATTAATTGAGCATGGTTTGGAGACAGGGTTAAGAATGATATTTGTAAGGATAATTGGCACTTGAGGCTGAGTTATAGGTGGTGTTGTACCTGTAAAAGCAGGATTGGATTTAAGCATCTGGAAGGCCTTTGAAAGAGGCCTGGGATAGGCAGGGAAATGGTGAAGATTATTCAGGCATCATATGAAAGTGAGTGACCTGGGTGGTAGCAGAGTTGAACCTAAAGAGAAGGAATTGAGGTCGTAAATAGAAAACTAGGACACAAAAAATCTAGGTCCTAGCCTGAGTATTTTCACTTATTAGGCATTAGAGTTTGGCAAGCTAATTTCTTTAAATATTAGCTACATACTCACCTTTCTGTGTGCCCATAGAGCTATATGAGAATGAAATGAGATAATAGATATGAAAATATTCTGTAAATGTCTATATAGTCATAATATGATGAAATGTGGCTCAAGAACCTCAGGAGTGGATTCCTAACTTTCCATTATCTCTTTTCATGAAAACATCATCCTAGAATTAAAATTTCCTTTATCAGGGTCTAAGAGGACTATCCATTCCTCTTGGGCAAAGGAGCTCCCTAACTTTTCCCCTTCCCCAGATATATAGTCTCAAGGACAGATTACAAACATACAACTTCCTTTAAAAATAAACAAATTTTTTTATTTGACAACCAGAAATAAGAGTTTTAAAATGCCCATTCCTCTCTCTAGTCCATTGTCGACGAAAGAATCCTGTGGATGGCCCTTTTATAATACAAATGGGACCATGTTACTCCCCTGCTCAAAACTTTCCAAAGGTTTCCCATCTCATGCAGAATTAAATGTCCTTTCTATGGCTTACAAGATCCTGCACAATTTGGCCCTCTGTTCGTTCTCTTTGACTTCATTTACAATACTCTTCCCCTTAATCTCTATACTCCAGCAAACCAACCTTGCTGTTCTTTGATCACGATCCTGCCTTCGGATCTTAGAGAAAACTTTCTTTCTTCTGTCTGAAATGCTCTTCCCTGACCCATCTACATGGCTCGTTCCCTCATCTCCTTCAAGCTTTTCCTCAAAAGATGCCTTTTCAGTGTGTCCTTCCCTTATCCTCCTATTTAAAATTTCTGCTCTTTTTCCTACATTTCCTGTCCTTTTCCCCCTTTCTCCATAGTGCTTATCATTCTCTGATGTGCTATATATTTTACTTATTTTTCTATTGTCTATCCCCCACTAGAAAGTAAACTGCACATGGACAGTGGTTTTTGATCGTTTTGGTTACAGTGTATCTCTAGTACCTAGAAGAGTGCCTAGAACATAGCAAATGCTCAATGAATCTTTGTGGAAGGAGTTAATACTATTTTATATGATGTTAAAACACATATCACTTACATAAGCAAGAAATTTTGTCTGTCCCTAATCTGGAGTATACTCAACCATGAAGACCCAAGGGGATAGGAAGGTTGTTGCTACTAAAACATTTAGGTATGTATCCATTAGGCCTTTAAGTTAGATTCTTTATTCACTTTTAAGAATATTGGACTGTCTTAAGAAACGCCTTGAGTACACCAATGATGATTCACCTGAGATTACTGCTCTTGTTCTACCTTCCACCCCATCCCCCCAAAATCAGAATGAAAACCATGTGAAATAGCACAGATATAATGCCCTCATATCACTGTCTACTGGAGTTATTCATGTTGAAAATATTGTTAGTACCTTTGGAATGTAATATGACTCAACTATAGTTTAACTCTGCGCGGGTTAGTTGAGGAATAACACATTGAGCGACCCCACTGAAAAATATCTTCTTTAAAGTCCACATTGGAGAATTACAGCACTGAATCAAGTTTTTATTGATTAATCTTTTATGTCTAGACAATGATTTGCTTAGTGTCATGTAAATTCATTTATGCTCATTTTATCTTCAGAACTTTCTTCAGTGCAGCCTTCATTTCCTTGTTTCGTAAGCTGTAAATCAGAGGGTTTAAGAAGGGAGTTACCACGGAATAGAACAAAGTCACGATCTTCTGCATTTCAGCTGGGTTATCAGTTGTGGGGCTCACATACATTGCCATAAGGGCCCCAAAGAATAAGCACACCACTGTCAGATGTGATCCACAGGTGGAAAAAGCCTTCTGTTGACCAGCTGCTGAAGGGATTTTTAACACAGCTATCAGTAAAAGGGAATAGGAGCTAAGGATGTACAGAAGAGTGAGGATGATAATGAGGGAGTTCAGGACATAGAAGATGATCTCAGTGACAGGAGCTGGGGCACAGGATAGAGCAATCAATGGGTCCATGTCACACACAAAATGATCAATGGTGTTGGGCCCACAGAAAGGTAATTGAGAGAGCTGCACAGTGGAGACAGAGTAACTAAGGAACCCAAATACCCAGCAAAGAGACATCAAGATATAGCAGAGTCGTTGGGTCATGACCGTTGTGTAGTGCAATGGGCGGCAGATAGCGAGGTACCGATCATACGCCATGATGCAGAGGAAATATGTCTCAGTTGTGCCAAGGGAAGTAAAAAAATATAACTGGAGGAAGCAGCCAACAAAAGAGATGGATTTTGTCACTGAGAAGATGTTGACTAACATACTGGGCACAGTGGAGGTAATGTACCATATTTCAAGGAAAGCAAAGTTCCCTAGGAGAAGATACATTGGGGTGTGGAGCCCTTGGTCCAACCTCACAGCACAGACAATGGCCCCATTTCCCATCATGGTAAATATATAGATCCCAAAGAACAGTGAAAAGAGGAAACTCTGCATCTCCTGACAACCAGGGAAGCCTAGGAGGACAAACTCTGTCACAGTTCTTGTCGTTGACTTGTTCATGCATCCCAGGGCTGCAGAGAAGACAGAAAACATCATTATATGAACTATTTTGTTTCCTGAAAAACTTGTAGGAAACCTATGCAATGTACATATCATGGAAATTTTGCAATTAGTTTGTAATAACCCATCCATTAACTCCTAGGTCTTATTTAAAAGCCACCAATCAACAATCCTGGTGATCCCAAATTGCAAAACTTGGATTCATAACAATGGAATCTGTACATTATTTTGATTTTCTGTATCAGTGGATTAGGTTAAAAGAATTCTCTCTTTCCTTTGAAATTTTGGAACCTCAGAAGCACTACCCTCTATGAAAGGCAGCAAAGTGGTTATCAGTTTGTATTTCTTTTTCTCACCCATGGTGGAATTATTTCTAATAGAACAGATTTTTGTCTGAGTAAATTTTTTAGCTGAGTATTAGGAGTGGAATAACTATTTTTTTGAAATCTCTCCCCAAGTAGAAAGTACTTGGCATACTTCTCAGACACTATAGAGCTGTATGTGTCCATTCTTCACTCTGAGCTGTTCACATCAGAATAATTTTCTCTCATAACGTATCAGTGCATTATAAGTCTTATCATAGAAACCAAGAGTACATTTTTTTTCTAGGGAATATTTTTCTAGGGAATAGAGAGTTAATAATTAGCTCCGAATATTCCTTGAATTGACTTTATGCTGTTATTTTAAACTCCCCTAATTTGTCAATTGAATCTCTACCATGCTAACCAAATGAGGAATTTTAAATCGTTATACCGGAAATCTCTCTCTAAAACAAACAATTTGTTTAAAAAATATATGGTTCAGCTACTTAAAAGGATTCACTTTTATGTTGTCCACATATCGCAGATGATGGGTTTCAACATTTCTGACTTCAATCTCACCTGCCCACCAGCAGGAAACTCAGAATCTTAGTAAGCTCAATTACCAAAAATCAGATAGAAAAACAAAAAAGAAGACATTACGTAGATCTAAATTTTGCAAAAGTGCAATTCTTGCTGGACACAAGTGTTTTCTTTCATTTTGGTTGTACATAACCGTATGTAAAAAATATTCAGTAAGCCTTCTCCAAATGCAAGGATATATTTTAACATTAGGTTATTAAGTACAACATTTCAAATAATCTAAAGTGTTTATGTCTTATTACAGTTATTAAATGTTTCAAATTCCATATACTACATTTGCCTTTTAAAAATAAAATTTACTTCAAAATAAAAATACGCTTTTTGGTTTTTATAATGAAGAACATGAAAAATATAGAAACAGACAAAAAATCTCACTTCGCAGAATAAACAAATTTTAACTCTCTGGGGAATTGCATTCCTCTCTTCTTTAAAAGTTAAAATAAGATTTTTCAACATACGTTGTTTTATAACCTGTTTTTTAACTTAACATATTTTAGTCTTTTTTCCATGTCAAAAATATAGCTCTACACTATCAATTCAATGACTGCATTGCCTTCCACAATTTAATCAATTCCCTGGTGATAGATTTAGACTGTTATCAATGTTTTGTATTATAATAAGCACTGTTTTAATATTTTTAAGCATACATCTTAATATACTTGACCCAAAAGTAAGCTAAATGATTTAAAAAATTAGATGAAGCAATGTATTATGTCCTAGCTTTTGATGGTGAAGATTTTAGATATCCTTTTGATACCTATTTTTCACTAAAGTCATCAAGTCAAACCCTGTTACATATAGGATAAACTCCTGCTTAATATTTCCATAGCATTTTATATATGTATCTACTAGAGCATGTGCCATACTGACTAAATCATGTGTTTCCCTGTGGACTGAAAACTACATAGCTCTTGAATGATGTTAAATTTACCTTTCTAATCTCAGTTGACTGAGTTTCTGGTGCATGTTAGGCACTAGTTGAATGAGTTAATGTTGGAATGACTTTCAACTTGCCAATGCCGTCACCGAAAAGCTAATCTGCTGAGTTTATGAACATCACCACCACTGAGCACTCAATCAGAACATCACTTGGCAGAGTGTTATGTGACTCTGACCAAGCTTGTAGCAAGGTCCCTTTAAACCCATGGCCCACAATCTCTCCTTGCCTCATATCCCTGTCATGCTTTAGTGTCTATTCTAAATATAAGCTTCTCTAGTCATTTACCTTTCTTTACATTTTCAAACCTATAATCACCATTGTGCTCAGTACTCTGATTCCATCTTTTCATTCTTAAGAGCTCTCTCCCCTGTTGTACTTGCTTCTTGGTGAATGGCTCCACTCTCCATTTACCAATCCATTTAGCATTTGCTAAAGCCAGAAACTCGAGAGTCATTCAAGACACTTCCTAATTCTGTCACTTCCCATATGTAATCAATCACCAAATCCTGTTGATTTTCTCTCCCGAATGTTTTTCAGATCTCTCCTGGGCACATAGGAGATTAACATAAATGCTTTCTTTATTTGGATGGTCCATTAGTGGAATGCAGCAGCTACACATATAACCTGGAAAGAAAAATGGCCCTCTTTAGGAAGGGCTGGGAATGTAGTTTTAGGAGGAAAGCATGTGGTTTGGTGAGGAAGGAAGAGATCACCCACTCTGGCAAACTATGTGTTGACATACCACAGCTGGATCAGGTTCACAAATGATTGACTCAATCCAATAATACATAGCTCAGTAGTCCTGTTATATCACTGTATTTAAAGGAAAATAAATGATAACATCACATTGATTTGGATTCAAATACCACATGACATACTGTGTACTCTTGGGCAAGTTAACACCTATTTTTCAGAGCTCTTGTGAAATTACTGTTGAATACATATGCCTAGTATAGTTTCTGGAATATACTAGTACCTGAAAAATTTATAGCGGTTGTTGTTAATAATGATCATACCGACAAATATGATTACCAAGTAACTAGGATAAATTTTTTCAGTGTAATTGTTTACAAACCTAAATGAAAGACAATAAATTTAAGTGAATGTGAGAGACTAGATTAAAAAGTCACTCAGTTCCAAAGTATCATACAAAAAGCTATGGGAAGCTCTCTTTGGTTGCTCAGGTTTATTTTGCTGACTTTCTTATACATTCTGGCGCTTAAAAATACACAGCTTTGTCTGATATAAAGGAAGGAAACATTAAAGCATAGTTGTGTTGATTCAAGATACGGAAAGTAAATGATTAAAGGAAGGGTATTACATTACTTCTGATGTACATAAGAGTAAGTGGGAATAAGTTATATTAATTGGGGGCATTGTGGAAAATGAGTTATGGAGCGCAACGCTAAGCAGTCTTCTAATAACAAATTATGTAATTTATCAAATTTCTGGATAATGAGGCATTACTTTGTGAATCATTAGGCAAGAAAGTTTCAGGGATCATTAATCTGAAGGAGATCTGAGTAGCTGGGCACTGGAGACAACAGTTCATATAACGTAACTTATTATGTTACTAGAGATACTGTGGATGAAATCACATATCGAGAAACATAAAACCCAGAGAAGTTTCAAAAATATATAAATATTAAAATGGGATCCCATTGGAGCTATTGTCCATTTGTAGATGTCTTAGAAAAAATGCAGTGAGCCTAGACAGAGAGAAAATTGACTTACCCTTCATGATATGGTAAGTGGACAAAGCTGTCAATAAACACTGAATCTATATCTTCTCATTGATGCTTCTCTTTCCTTTATATGGAATCAAAACCCAGGGGCCTGACCCTGAGAATTCTGGCATTTATAAAGTAAGCTGCTGAAACTCTCTTTCTTGCCTTCCTGAAGTGCCCAAAAGAAACAGTTACAGCAATAAGGTACTTCTGTTGGGCAGTAGGATAACCAGTGAAAAGAAGCACAGCCTTATAATCAGTCCTTGAGGTGTGGGCCTCAATTGACATATTGGTGTTCTCATCAAGGGCAATATAAGAGACCTCAATCAACCCCAGGCACCCAGATCTTTCACTTGCCTCGGTCAGCCGAGGAAATCCAACAGGTGAATTTTATATCTTGATTATTTTTGCTGTAGAGCAGCTGAAAGCAGTGAGGTATGAACCTCATGAGGAGACTTCAAAAAAGGGGTACAAGTGAATGAAGGGGAAGGGAGTATGTTGAGACTCCCAAGGGTGCAATTTAAGTTTCATCTTAGAGATTATTGTGAAGTCTTCAGTCTCCCCTTGGGCTGGTTTATAACTCCCTCAAGACTTCTTGGTGTAACGTCCTTTCCTTATCCATGGTTTTCAAATCTTTTAGGTTAAATTGGCTCCCAGAGCGAAGGCAGGAATAATATCTTAAAGGCAATGGGGAGATGTCTCTGTGGATTTCCAGAGATTTTTTTTTTTTCCAGGAAAATCTTTTTCACTGTGAAATATAGAGAATGTTCACAAGGTACTCTGTTTATACTCTGTGTTTTCTTCACAGATTTGGTATCTGTAAACCTTTGCTTCCAGTCCTTAATTACTGATAGACTATATGTTTCCTATTTGTCGTTTCTGTTCTTTGTTCCTTTATTTCTTCTTGTTTTCTTTTGGGTTATTCAAGTATTTTGATTTTGATTTTTCTCTATTATCTTTTTTTGATGGTTTTAAAATAGTTTTTTATTGTGGTAAAATATACATAACATAAAAATGACCATTTTAACTATTTTTAAATGTTCAGTTCTGTGGCATTAAGTACATTTACATTGTTGTGCAACCATCATTACCGTCCACTCCCAGAAATTTTTCATTGCCCCACACTGAAACTCTGTACCCATTAAACAATAATTTCCCATTCCAGTCTTCCTCTGACTCTGGAAACCACCATTCTACTTTCCATCTCTGTGAATTTAACTACTCTAAGTACCTTATAGAAGTGGAAGCACACAAATTTTGGCCTTTTGTAGTTGGCTTATTTCACCTAGCATAATGTCTCCAAGGTTCATCGATGTTGTAGTCTCTGTCAGAATTTCCTCCTTTTTTAAGGCTGAATAAGATTCCGTTGTTGGTGTTCACAGCATTCTGTTTATCCATTGTTGTGTTGAAGGATACTTGGATTGCTTCCACCTTTTGGCTATTGTGAATAATGCTGCTATGAACTTGGGTGTTCAAATATCTGTTTGATTTCCTGCATTGAGTTCTTTTGGGTCTACACCCAGAAGTGGAATTGCTGGATTATGTGGATTATAATTCTACACTTAATTTTTTTTTTTAAAGATTTTATTTTTTTTTCTTTTTCTCCCCAAAGCCCCCTGGTACATAGTTGTATATTCTTCATTGTGGGTCCTTCTTGTTGTGGCATGTGGGACGCTGCCTCAGCATGGTTTGATGAGCGGTGTCATGTCCGCGCCCAGGATTCGAACCAGGAAACACTGGGCCGCCTGCAGCAGAGTGCGCAAACTCAACCACTCGGCCACGGGGTCAGCCCTACACTTAATTTTTTTGAGGAAGTGCCATACCATTTTACATAGCGACTGCACCATTAGCATTTCTACAAGCAATGCACAAGTGCTCCAATTTCTCCACATCCTTGCTATTTCTCACTTTCTGTTTTTGTTTTTGTTTGTTTTGATAATAGCAATTCTAATGGGTGTGAAATGGTATCTCATTATAGTTTTGAATTCCATTTCCCTAATAATTAGTGATCTTGAGAGTCTTTTCATGTGTTTATTGGCCATTTGTATATCTTTTTTGGAGAAGTCCTTTGCCTCATTCAAGTTTTGCATATTTTTAAATTGTTGTTCTTTTATTATTATTATTATTATTTACTATGGTAGCATTGGCTTATAACATATAAATTTCAGGTATACATCGTAATGTATTTTGATTTCTGTGTAGATTACATCGTGTTCACAACCCAAAGACTAATTACCATCCATTGCGACACACATATGTGCCTAATCACTCTTTTCGCCCTCCTTCCTCCCCACTTCCCCTCTGGTAACCAACAATCCAATCTCTGTTTCTATGTGTTTGTTTGTCATCATTTTTATCTTCTACTTATGGTTAAGATGATACAGTATGTGACTTTCTCCCTCTGACTTATGTCGCTTAGCATAATACCCTCAAGGGCCATCCGTGTTGTCACAAATGGCTGGATTTCATCATTTCTTATGTCTGAGTAGTAGTCCATTGTGTATATATACCACATCTTCTTTATCCATTCGTCTCTTGATGGGCACCTAGGTTGCTTCCAAGTC